CTGCTGATTGAGACACCTTTTGAACAGGTGGCCATGGACACTGTGGGCCCACTACCAAAGAATAGTACATGGTATCAGCATATTTTAAATATCATGGACTATGTGACCTGGTACTCTGAGGTGGTACCCATGTGGACCCTGTCCACACTGAAGGTAGCAGAAGAATTTTTTGAAAGTGTTTTCTTGGGTAGGACTCCCCCGAGAACTCCCCCAAGAACTACTGACAGACCAGGGAACCAATTGCATGTCCCATGTATTTGAGGGGGTAAGCAAAATGCTAGGAATTAAGCACCTGAAAACCTCAGTACAGTATACCACCCTCAAATTGATGGGTTGGCCGAATGGTTTAATCATACCCTGAAAGGTATGTTAAAAATTGTGGCAGAAGCCCCCCCTGTAAATAGGATCAGATGTTACCCCCTACTGCTGTTTGCAATGCAGGAGGCACCCCTTTGAGTTTTCACCCTTTGAGTTATATGGGTGATGACCTTTGGGGGGTGGGGGGAGTCCTGGATGGGAAGACCAGTGGTATAGGAGCAGAAATCCTGTACAGTATGTAATTTGGCTAAGGGAGTTGGCTCAGCATCCCCCTGCAGTCTTCCTGGTCAGGAGTTCCTCATCCCCTGGCTTGAAAGGCTAGACTCCCTGGCTTGGCTGAGCTCCAGGCTTATTCCACTCAAGCCCTGTCCACCTTTGATCAGGTGCCCTGTCAGAAGCGGCACAGAAGGAGGCCCTGAACAATCTCAGAGGGGTCCAAGAGTGGCAAATGGCCACCTATGTTCAAGGAGCCCGGATGAGGAATTTCCAAGTTGGAGACCAGATACTAGTCTCGCTTCCTGACCAAGATCCAAAGTTGCTCGTACCCAACTTTGCAGAGTGAATGGTACCTTGAAAGAGCTCACATGAGTCAGAGCCCCAGTCAAGGTGAAATGGACACCAGCGGTGGGAAGTGCCTTCTAAGAAATAGAGAGTGCTCTGTCAGTCTCCTTTTTTGTATACACCAGGTTTTAATAAACCATTTGTGCTACAAATGGATGCATTGAACGTGGTTATTGGCACAGTCTTAACGCAGAGAGACATGAAGAAGTCTCAGTGGTATACATACGTGGGAAACTACAGCCCCAAGAAAAGACTTATGCCACAATAGCAAAAGAATGTTTGGCAATTTTAAGTGGGTGATAGAAATGCTCAGATATTATTTGTTAGGATGCCAGTTCACACTAATTGCAGACCATGCCCTATTATGTTGGCGCCACAATATGAAGACTAACAATACAAGATTGATGAGGTTGACCCTCAGTCTATAACCATATTATTTCTCAGTAGAACATCCGCTGGGGACTCGGACTTGGAATGTGGGCGCCGACTTCTTCTCAGGAAGATATGGGTCAGAGGAGGATTTAAAAAGGAGTTTAACTCCCCAAGGAAGTAGGGGTTTCTAATGTGGAACCGTTACCCTGTTACAGAAAAGCAAAATGGCCCTTTTAACCAAAGGGTTTTTTGTGAACCGGACAAAGGCAGCTGGCAAGGCTGGGGTTAATAAACAGCCCCAGAGGTGGGTCAGTTGACAGGGCACCTGATCAAAAGTGGGCAGGGCTTGAGCTACATATAAGCTGCAAGTTCAGCCCTGCAAGCCTGGGGATGAGTAACTTCTGGCCAGGAAGACAGGGTGGGGGTGCTAGGATGACTTCAGAGCTGCTCTAAGGACTGCCAGCAGAATACTGGTTCCTTATGAAGGAATACAACCCTGGGTAAGGGCCTTGCTGCAAGACAGTAGACTGTTGTGGTCATTTGCTATACCTAAAGCAGGTTAAGTTTGTTACAACTGGTGTGCTTTCTCCCTTTGAGTTCAACTGGTGGTTTGTGGAAAAGACTAAGGGGCAGTTTTGAAGGTCCCATTAGTGCCTAGGAGGCCTGTGCCTGGGAGGGGTTGAGGCAGGGGCCAAGGGGGCAGTGAGAGCCAAAATGGGCTCAGTGCCTGAGAGGGGCCAAGACAGGGCCAGGGACCTGAAGCCTGTGAAGGACTGAACCAGTGCCTGCAAAGGGTAGAAACCAGGGAGCTGATGCCCACAAGGGTTGAGAACTGGGGCCAGGGGCCTGAAGCCTGAGAAGGGCTAAGCCAGATCCCAATAGTTTGAGGCTTGGGCTGGAGCCTAGAAGCCGGATTGAACAGAGTGGATCTGAGCTAAATCAGCCACAAGGGAAAAGGGGCAGAAGCCAAGTGGGCCAAGGTCCTAACAAGTGAGACTGCCTGGACAGGCAACATCTGTGAGGCATGGGCATGGTGTTAAAGGGTGGTTTGGAGCCATGTAATAAGCTCCTAAGGCAATGGGTACCTCAGCACATACAGGCCAGGATGGCCCAACTACAGACAGACTGGGTTTGCTTTAGTGGGGCCTGGTAGGGGATCCACTGGTGAAAGAAGAATGAGGACTATATCTAGGATGAAAAGGCATCTTCCCTTTCCTAATTTAACAATTGCATCAAGGCATGGTAGGGGGGAAGGTGCCAACACCCACGGGCAGTAACAGCATTGCTTGTTGGTTGTGCTGTAGCCTACTGGTTATAGCCTATACTTGGGTGGGGGGAGATAGGAGTTCAAGACCTGCCTTCTCCTGGGGAGCTTAAGCCCACTTGTTGCCTTTTACTGTGAATGGGTCCTTATCAACTTACTGTGAAAGTGCTGAGTGCATCTTCCTGGGAAGGGAGAAACAGTTTTCTTATAACTGCTACCAGAACTGCTTGTGTATCCTCTGTTGGACAGTTACTTACTAAAGTACAGAAATAGCCTTGCAGAGGGATCAGCACCCAGGACTGTCCCCTCTTGGGTGATAACCATGTTACAATCAGGTTCCCTCTCACATGGTGTCTTTCTGACCCCATGAATCTTGCACTTCTGGTTGCCCAGTGGCCTAGCTTCAAGAGCAGAAATGAAGGGGGCCCTCACACAATTGGTCCTGTAGGCTGGGGGTTATGGTGCTCTCCTAGGAGTTGGGGGGATGTAGTGTTGGATCCCCTCAGCCTGAGAAGGACCTAAAACAAGAACTCTCCTTTATGGGGGTGTATTCTGACTACTAGGCAATGGTGCCAAAAGTGGGCCCTGCCACCACCACTCATGCTCAAGAAAGAAAGCTGCTTTGGGAACTGTGCTCTGCAGAAGCAAGGCTGCTGGCAGTGGTAATCGGGCATTATGCATGCTCTGTGGATACCTAATGGACTAAGGGACAGGCAGAGGCTAGCTGCAAGCTGGATTTCAGCAGAGAGTAGACAGTCTAGACACCAGGGTGCTTGGTCTGGATCACTTAAAAGTGACTGTAGCAGCCTCAGGCTATACCTGAAGGGAACTCCTCAGGACAAAAGGGAAATGCCTCCTAAATGTAGGTGCCTTGGTAGTTTTGTGGCTGCCAAAGCAAGGTCAATCTGTGTCACTTTTTGTGACTCAGGCTCCTCAGCTCCAACTAAGTCCTGCTTAGGCACCTATAATCACAATTTGGATCTGGGCCTGGCCTTTGGGGCTTCATGCAGCTTCATGGCCCAAGAGATAAAATAATAATTAACAACAGGGAATGTTTCACCACTTCCAAGAGGGCATGGATATTAAATTATGCTTCATTAACTAATAACCTTAATAGGGCACCATTAGGGCTCACTCCTCCAACTGCTCACACAAGAGGGCAGAGCTGAACTGATGGCCCCAAGGGGATCTGAAGCTAAATTGTTTTTTATTCGTGGGTTGCAGACTTCTTACCTGGTCACACACAGGTAACTGATACATTGTTTCACAGGCTTGTGAACAGAGTACAGGCGTGTACATGGAAACTGCTCCTCCCGGCATTCTGGGAACACATATAAGCACAGATGCAAACTGTTGCCAAAGGCAGTTGTGGTCAGTCTGAGGTGAATACAGGGTACCCAAGGACTGGACACCAGCCATCAATTCAATTTGCAAAGACCTTGTAACTTGGGCTGCATCAAAACTACTGTTTATGTCAGGACTCCACAAAGTTTTGGAGCTGTGGGCTTGATCAAACTGGCTCGTGTGTCCCAGGCGTCTGCTGCCACCACTTCTCACCACCGCTTGGCAGCACTGGTGTGCAAACTCCCCTTCTGCCTGGCCAAAGCAGCCCCAATGTGTAAATACCTCCCTCCACCACTGGACTGCTATGCAGTGCCAGCATGCAAAGCCCTTCCAGCTGCAGCAACACCTATGTGCAACCCCCTTCTCTACCCCTTGATCCCTGGCCATGGCGCAGCTGCCGCATGCAGAGCAATCATCTCTACCTTCCACTGCAGCGCAGGACGGGCCATGGTGCAGCATGGACAAAGTCACCTGACTCTGTGTGCCAGATCCATATCTGGCTCACAGCCTAGGTGATGAAAGGTTGCATACCCAGCTCCCTGATACCTGTGAGAGACTGAGGTTCTTTAGAGAGAGGAAAGGAGAGGGACATTTTTACTCCTCCTGGATCCCCATGGAGAAGCAAGGGAACATTCTTGACTCTGGGGAACTGAGCTTGACTAAACTGGTGAAATTCCCTGATGCAGGATTGACACTACTCAGGGAGTGGAGAATGATACAGAATGGACATACTGTACGAATAGATTTAGAAATGAAATTTTCTGGCATGTTATTTAAAATACAAGTTTGTAGAGGACATGAAGTCACAGTGCTTCAGGACACAAACCAACCACTTGTCCCTTGAGGTGAGGAAGAAAATCCCCCTCACTCTATACCATAACTCTGTTCTGGACTGATCCAGTCTGAGAGTTAGTAGCTTCCCTTTGATTTAGGGCTGGATGGGATTTGGTGCCAGACAGGTGAAAGACTCCATGTCATATATTTTATGCCCCAGGCCAGTCAGCACCCCCGACTTGAGGCCTAAGATTAAATTAATTCATTAACAAGGGATTGTCTCCCCCCCCACCCCCGATCCCTTTAACCCCAGGACTGGACAGAAAGAGGCGATAAATGAACAGAAGGCAAGCAGAAAAACTAAACCTACCTTGTACCCCTGTCACACTGTCAGTGTCAGCCAGAACTAGAAAAAAACAAAGGATTTGCAGAGTTTGGCTCTCTGCCATAGTTCCCCCACACCAAGGATCTGCCAGGGGCCCTGCACATCAAGGAGGGCAGTAGGCAGGAGGGGCTAAGGAGGCACAAGTAACAAAACTGAACATACCTTGCGGCTTTGTTGTGGCCTCAAAGTTAGCTTGAAATAGAAAACAAGACATTTGCATAGTTAGGGGTTATTTGCCATCAGTCCCAAAGAAAAAGTGAGCAGAAGGGAATTTCAAGTGGGGTAGCCTTCAAACCAAGGGGCAGCACTACCTCTGACCGTGCAGCATGTCCTATGGTACTGTCCCTGGTATTCCCCAAGTACAGAGCAGAGGTTGGTTAATGTTCCTTCAAAACTTCGGGCACCTTGGACCCTGATAAAACAGTACCTTGTGGAGTCTGCCTCAGGTATTCACTCAGTGACACATCACAAGGGAGCTCAAATGCCTTCTGAGAGATGGCTTGCCATAAGTATTGCTGTGAGAGCTGAGGTCATCTTATTCCCCTGCCCTGTTGTCAAACAGGCACCAGTGCTGTCAACAGCCAGGGCCACAGACCAACGGTGAGCACAAGGAGAGGAGAATCTCTGGGGCAGCGATTCACAACCAGGGTGGTGTGAGATCCTTTTGGGGGTGCTACAGGGTGCTGTGGAACATTAGCACCGTTAGATATGCAAAAAAACCTATGCATGATTCACAAGTCAAACTTAGAGATTTTCATTGGAATCCAGTGTGAGAACCATTCTACCTTGCTTTGGTCTTTCTGAGTTTTTGGCAACAGAGGAATTGCTCTATTATTTTTCTGTAGTCAACAAGCGAGTGAAAGCTAAGAGTTGGCATTTTCTGAGGGTTGCCTTGAGCCCAACAAGGTTGAAAACCACTGCTTTAGGGAGCTGCAGAAGGAGTGAGGGGCTGATCCTGGCAAAGGGAGACTCTGAGCATGGGGAGGAGGGGAAAGCTGGGTGTCTTGCAGCTGGGATGGGATGAGAAGTCAGAGGAGGCCCTGAGCTGCCTTGCTTTAATCAGAGGAGTGAACTCACCAGGACTAACTGTCGGAGATCCTGGATACAACCCAGCTGGAAAAGGAAAGACAGTTCTGCATTGAGCCTTTGGTCCCCTACAGAGCTGGCAGCAGTCGGATGGTAGGGCCCCAGGCCAATCCAGTGGATTCACATACTCGGTGTCCCTCCCCTCTCCCACCAGCTCTCTAAGGGCTAGCCTTGGCAGTGCATGCTGCCCACCTCACCGAGCCAGTGCTGATCCAGCATCACCCCACATCCCTCTGTGTCACTCATTCTTCTGCCCCCACCCATGAAGCTTTTCCTCCAGGAATTCATGTCTCTCACTCCTTCCCTGGCTGCTAATCACAGCCTCCCATGTCTTTTTTTTTAATTTCGTGTCTTGGGCCAAATCAGTTCTGAATTCTGTTGACTGAGCACAGCTCAATCATTCAAGTCTATGTAGTGCTACCACCAGCAAGTATCCTCCCTCCCAGATTTTTCTGGGGCTTCAGATACTCCAAAATCCAAGGCAGGCATCCTACATGCAAGCCCCAAGCCCAGAGGCCTTGGAGTTCAGGTGCCTCCTAGTCTTACTTGCCCCTAACCAAAAGGCCAAAGGAGCAACGTAGAGGGAAAGCCTGAGAGCAATTCCCCATCACCATAAATTGCATAGCCTATATATCCTCGCATTTGGAGGCATTTGTAGACTCACAGAGGTCAGCCTGCCTGCAGTCTCACACTGTCCTTGCTGTACCCCAAAGTGGCCGCTAGTTGTCAGCAAATGCACACTAGTAATCTGTCACCACAGCCCAAATGCCAGTGAGTCCAGCCAAATCCTGCCTCTGTTGTGCCACCCTTCTTCCCTGCAGTGGTCCCCTGCTCAAACCGCACTTCTAATGCTCCCTATCTTGCCTCCCCCCTGCCCCTTGCCCTCCCCCAGGAGGTCAGGATGTCCTGTGTTCATTGTCTAGATCAAGCACCAAATGGCATCCCCCCAGGAAACCACCCCAAACACCTCCTCCTTGTGAGGAACACAGTGAGAGCAGCGATCCAGAGCTGCAATGTAATGGCCTCTATGGAGGTACTGAGGGGAAAGGAGGCTCTGAAGGGTCATACAGCTGGGAACAACACCAAGCCAGGAATGAGAGGCTCTGAACCCTCCCTGCTTTGCTTGGAGAGATGAACTCACCAGATCTTGCAGTGGAGGGTCCTTGCTCATTTGCCTCTGGAAAAAAGAGAGAAAGCTCTAAATGATCTTGTTAGTCCCTTACTGAGTTAGCTATGGCAGGCCCTTGAGAGAGTGCTAATGACCCAGTAAAGACTTGTGGTGTATCATTGCCCAGTCTCAATGACTGGGCTGGCATCTCCTAGTCCAGTGGTTCTTAACCTTTTTTGTATCAGGACCCATTTGTAAATGTTGAAGGCCAGTCTCAACCCAGTGCCCCTCACTCCCAACCCGCTGCCCCCAGGCTCCAGCTCCCCAGTGTGTGGGGTGGGGAGTGGGTATATGGGACTTTGGGGCGGGGGGGGGACAAGCAGCCCCTTGCAGGCTGGAACTCTGCCAGCCTGCAAGGGGAAATGCACAATTTCCCACATTTTTGTCCTTTAAAGAAGAATCCATTTTTAAAGTTTGCTTATCTATTTTTAACATTTGTTCGCGCCCCTTTCATATATTCTTGTGACCCAATTTTGGGCTGCGACCCACTGGTTGAGAAATGCTGTCCTAGGGTACATGGTGCACTGAGCCTTAGGTGCAAAACTGCACTGAACTCTGGACCCAGCTACCAACTTCCCAGCTTTGGGCTACCTTGGGTGGCCAGATTGCAGACAGAGACCTCAGGTTCAGGAGCCCACGCTACTGCAGCATGCCCTTCAGGGTCATACAGGGGACTGCTCCCTAGCCTAGGTTGTTAGGCACTGGAATTCCCCTACAGAGGAAAACAGATTGCCAGGCAAGGGGAAACATGTGGCAGCAAATTACCCCCACTTCTTTGCTCTACCCCAGGGGTTTTCAACCTTTTTGGATCAGTGTACCCCCAGCAGCCAGACGTGGAGCAGTGTACCCCTGGTGGCCAGGCATGGACTGGGGAGCGGGGTGTGCGTGACCAGACATGGAGCTGGGGCTGGGCGAGGAACACAGCTGGACGTGCACGGGATAGTGCGTGGCAACGCTCTGTCCCCACCCACCTGTGCATACCCCCTTGGGGTATCTCAAGTACTCCTGCTCTACCCAAAAGTTTCACAGCCCTGTTACAGAACAGTTTCACAGTTTCACAGCCCTGTACCAGCCAAGCAGCCTCCAAGGCAGCCCCAGGCAGAGGGCATTGCAGGAATG